CTTGGAAGGGCACGATGACACCTTGACATCATATCCTCAGGTACAGTGGCTGCTAAGGGGAACATCCATGAACTTCCATTCATATGCATGTACAACTGCAGATCTGCCTCATTCGTTGTTGTGAGAAAGTCAGGTGTGTAACTGGAACATACTTCGAGACTTTGTAGAACAAAACATTTATTGAGCGGAAAGAAAACGAAAAATGAGTAATCACTCACGCAACATCAAGGGAGTAGGTCTCGTTTGGCTGGAGCCGGAAAGGATAGCAATTCAGTATCCGAAAACCGCGATTTTCGCAAGGCACACCATTGATGCTCATATTCACAACGGTGAACGGCACTTCTCCTGAGTTCAGCACCGAGAATGGACGACGAACTGTTAGTGTAGAGCTGAGCTTATGCATTAACCCTGAAAACAAAGTGGGATTCATTCTCAACAGGCGTTCATTACCTCTCAGATAAAGACGCGAACTTACTCTTGGGATTGTTACAGTCGCTGAGATGGTCATGGCGAATCTCGAACAACAGAGGTTGTTTCGACCTAGCTTCCATATTTTCCACTCGCATTCCTATACGTGCTCCTCTTCCATACACCACAACAGGTTCGATAACCGTCAGATTATTTCTAGATTACTAGACTTAGAAAACAAAACGCATTCTCTGAAGAACAGTTGAGTTGCAAGCAAACCTTATAAGGAGAAGAGAGGATCGCAAAGTGTAATCTGAAGGCAAAAATCCAAGCCGAAGCCGTACTTTCATATGCGGTTTCAACAGCAGCGACAAAGTAAATCTAGAAGTATTTTAACTTAAAAATCAGATTTGATAGATGTCTTTGTCTTGCTTCGCAACCTTCTCAAAGCTGAATTTTGATAAAACTCTTGGCCCTTCTTAATGGACCAATGATATAAAAACCCAAGTTCTATGTTTCATATACGGTTTTAATAATTAATCTAGTCATCCTTCACGCATGTACGATAAATTTTACAAAATGTAAACAAACTCGCATACAGAGCAAATCCATCAATGATGTTATAATTTCGTGCATGTGTGTATCACTTTTTAACAAACATCTCATTCGACAATGTTGCAGTTAAATAAATGAGAACGAGTCACCTTGGCACTGTTTGTGGTAT